ATCCTTCTTCAAAGCCTCCTCTGTGGTTGGAAAGATCGCTCCGGTAGTAGTGGACAGAGAGACATATTCATCCTTGAAGGGTTTGACCCACTTGCGCAACTCCCTTCGCACTTGGGCAAGCGACACCGTGTAGGTCTGAAGGACCAGCGAGGGCTTCTGCTCTTCCCCTTCTCCTGAACCCCCCGCCGCCTGCAATGCCGCCATCCTCCAACTCTCAAGAGCTCCATGTTGGCGTTGAAGGCACTCCTCCCGGACCATCAACTGTTCTTCCAGGACTTGAAGCCATCCACCGTGTTCGCTGCCCTGCTGTGCTCCCACCGCCACCTGATTCAACTGATCCAGCCACATTCTTTTCAACTGCCAGTGACTACGAACTTCTTCCTCATGCCACTGCACTGCCTGAGTCCATGAACAGGCTTGCAAATCCAAAGCTTCCTCCCCCGGAACCTGCAGCCCATCCTGCTCCTTCGGCAGATCTCCTTCACAAAATCGACATCCAGCTCCTCGATGTTCCCCCAGTTGCCAAAGATCGCACTCGAGGCGCTTCACCATCCCTTCTGCCGACTCTCCACAGCTCCCGTTGTCTTCGACCTGCAGGCAAGCTCCTGGGTCTGGATCTGTCCCCCCCCCCTGTCCTGAAGTTGGACAACGCGGACAGGGCTGGTTGTTGTGCAGGCTGCACCTCCTCATACATGTGTGAGATCACGTCCTGCAATGGGTGAGGATCCAAACTTTGTTTTCCAGTCACTCTCCTGCGAATGATGTCTGCATCAATCTCCTGGAGCTCGAGAGCCGCTTGGTCCGCTTCTGGAGATGGCTGTAGAGCCGTTCGAACGTGTTGAACCCGACCTTGATGGCGAACCACCCAACCGCTTGTCATCAGTGGGCTTGGACCAACCAGCTGCATGGAGATGAACGGGTTGACCAACTGACCAGCCTTGTGCCATCTCTTCGTGCGAACTGCCACCTTCGACCCAAACCGTAGCATTGGTTGCACCGGAACACCTAGTCTGCTGAGCTGCTGTCTGCATCTCTCCTCTGCCGCATGGCGAATCGCTCCTGGCCACAGTTCTGGTTCCACTTGTGCCTGATGGATGATCAGCCTCATGCGTCTCTTAACTTGTTGCACTTCTGCTTCTGCACGGCCATTGGCCTGTGGATCGTCGCCCTGCGTGAAGGTCTGTACCAGGTGTCTGTGGCCGCACCATTTTGACACCCTCCTCGACAGCATGCCCTTCTCCCTGTCGCTGTGCAATCTCATCACATTGATGCCCAGACACCTGAACCTTGCATAAAGTCGGGACAAGCCTCCCAGGAGCGAATCCACACCTCTGTCTTCCATCACCTCCACCATTGTAACGTTCTGCAGCTGATGGGGCCTCCGAAGCTCATCGATCTCTTCCCGACCAATCACCTGCTCCTCACCCTCCTCAACAAACTGCTGATCTTCTAACTCTGGTGGATCTTGACGGCCATCACGTTCTAGGTCTTCCTCCTCCAGGTCCTCTTGATCCAAAGATGGCACGTCCCTCACCTGCTCCTCAGTGAGATCCTCTTCTTCGGCCGGTTCCCCCGGCAGATGGTCCGGCACCGGCAACGGCACCGTTCCCAACAAAGCGTACTTGGCCATTCTTCCAGTTGCAGGATCTTTCCCCACTGGGAATGGTCCAATGATGTCCACCGCCAAGGTGTATGCAGAAGACGCTGTCCTGGATCTCCGATGTGGATTTTGCGTACCCATTGCTTCCAGGCAGGTCCTGCAGTCCCGCCTGAAGGGCGTGTGCTGCATCCGCACATGTCGCCGCCATTGGTCCATATCCAATCGCGCCACCTTGCAGTTCTCATCCTCCTCAAGCATACTCCTCAATGCCAGCTGGATGGCCTTGACAAAGCCCGGCGACCATTCTGACCAGCTTCTCGATGCTGCCATCCTCTGACTCAAATCCCCTCCGACTGGGTTGGTGTTTCCTCCTCCTTGGCATAATTCAAGCTGCTCCAGCATGGGCAAGTTCGACAACACCCCCGTCGGCTTCCTCCGTGGATGACCCGTCGCTCCCTGGTCGAAGTTGATCATCCTCATAGTCTCATCTTCCTCCAGCAGCTGTTGCAATTGAGGCCACTCAAAATAAGATGGATTCTGCCGATCCTCCTCCGACTCCAAATAGGATGCTGGATCCCTTGGCGACTCCAGCAAGAAGCCTGTCAATCGGCCCATCTGCTGTCCCTGTTTGGCCAGCTTCCAAAGTGCAACCTGCTTGAGAACCAGCGTGGTGTCGTTCGCGACCATCTGAGCCTCCTTAGGAGTTAGATCATCCAATCCCCACCTCAGATCACCTCTTGCTCTGACTTTGCGAGGTCCAGGTGGCCCACGATTCCGCAACCTGCTGACTGTTCTGCATGGAGGACCTCCCAAAACTGCCTTGATTCGGCCCTGCTTGGCCAACCAGCACAAATATCCCCACACTTGAGGTGAGTGGAGATCATACCTCGACCCAAGAAGCGGGTCCACGAACAGACAGGTGTACCCAGAAGGCAGCGAGTCCTTCCACCTCTTCACATTGGTGCCGGAGAACAGGTGCACAATGATTCCCTTTGAAGTCTGATGCATCCTCCTCTGCCTCCGGTTCCATGGAAGATCATCTCCCGCCGGACACCATGACTGGCCCTTCATGAACTCCAACAGCTCCCCCGGGACCCCAGGGATGTCCTCGGCCGTGATGCTGTAGTGCCCCCTTTCCAGCTCCTCAAACTCCTTGAGCATCGCAAGAGCTGCAGTCCTTTTCATCACTGGACAACCCCCCCGCAGCCAACATAGTATCGGCCCTTGCCGAGGATGGTTGATTGTGCATCCATTCACCGACCAGTCAATCCGAAAGCCATGTTGTACCAACAAGCTCAATGGAATGATCGGCTCAACCTCGTCCAAAGACAGCAATGTGCTGCATCCCTCCTTTCGAAACAGCGTCGTCGACCCATGGGCGAGCTCCACCTGAACTGGAATAAGGTGGTTCTTCTCCCCGACCTCCGCCATCCTCAGTGGATGCGTTGCACCTCCATCCAACAAGGCCACTTCGCCCTCCCTCTCGGCGTCAGGCTGTATCCTGCAAACCTGCCTCAGCCTGCAAGCCTTGAGCGCTCTCAATGATTTGAGCAAACTTGCAGCTTCTGCTATCAATGCCGTCGCCGACTCTGCACTCCCCGTCGAAGCTTCTCCACCACCTGCAACCTTCTCCCCCTCCCGACTCCTTGACACCTGTGTGCTCTTCAAGGAGCCCGAGGACTGTTGGGAAGAAGTCGTAGTGGCGTTCTCCTCCTTCGGCTTATCTGGAGCTTCAAGGTCACTCACTGGCGACTCCTTGGTGGGCATAGGATTCTTCACCTTTGCCACCTTCTTTGAATCCCTTTGATCTCGCTCACGTCGAGTAGGACACTCTCGCGACATGTGCCCTTCACCACTGCAGACAAAACACCGATTCTGCTTGTTGATGCCTTCCCATGAATGCCCATAGGTGCATTAATCCCCCCTCCTGCAGCCCTGAGCAGACCCTCAGAACTTGCAAGAGGCCTTTTGCTTCTCTTCTGTAGAGCTCGTGGTGTTGAATGCCGCCACCTTTGGAGCTGTCCCTCCAGCTGTGGACATGTTCACATTCGCACCTGCTGCAGGCGTCTTTAAAGAGCCAGTCATCAGCGCCAGATCTTCAGCCTCCGCCTGCACATACTCCGCATACGCCATGATGGATTCCATCGTCGGACACTGATCCACTGCAAGATCTTGCCTTGCTGTTGCCATTCTGAATGAGACCTGAGCACCACCATGTCGACCCAGGGCTTCTGTGACCCTGTTCAGCACTTGCACCAGCACCAGAGGGTCCGGTGTAGTCAGGCCCAACTCCTGCGCACACTGGATCCATCGCCTCCATTGGCGAATTCCAGACAAAACGTCTGCCGCCCCATTGCCCACCTTCAGCTCGGTAATGCTCTTGAGGAGCGCAGTTCTCTCAGCTGAACCCCCTGGTCGAACTTGATCGGGAAGAACCCCCAACAAGATAGTCACTCCCGGTGCTCAACTCGTTCATAACTGGGGTGCAAAGGCCGATCAACCTTAAGCCTCAGCCTCTCCAGCGGCTTCAACTTCAGCCAAGTCTCATACAGCGCCTCCGCCTCCATGATGTTTGCTTGCCACCAACCCCTCGCAGAGGATGACAGATCTGACATGAGAGGCATCGCCACCGTCAGCCAATCGCCGAAAGCCAGCGAAGCACCATTGCTGCCAGGAGATGGTAGAGGTGGTGACTCCACGCTTCTAAACACTTCATTCACGGTCCCCTGAGGCGGTTCAGACCTGTTCAACGGACCCTCACACACTCCCTCCTTCTGCAAACCTGGTGGACGCTCAAGACCATGTGGTTGAGACCCTCGACCATCGCGGCGAGTCGATTCGCCCCCATTTCCTCCTCCGCCCGGTCCCATCACCCCGACCGTTGACCGCCCAGGCTCTCGGTCAGCACTTGGCACCGACTCGAAGGATGATGACTCTGCTCCACCAGTGGCCTTCTTGATCTCCTTTGCAAAGGGGTTCTCGGCTTCCCTGAGCACCTTCTCCCTGATGGCCTCCACATCAACATAGTTTGGCGACCTTCTGACTTCCCCTTGCGGCATCTCCTCAGGCACCACCCCACTTTCACCAGGATGAGCTCGTGCTTGTGTGCTCCAAAAAGGGTTGACATTCGCCCCACTCATTGGGGGAGGGGTAGCCATGGGATAAGATTCCAGAACCCTCGGTTGTGGTCCCAATTCAATCGTGGGGCCATAGCTCAAAGGTCCTCCTCGGGGGTCGTCCTCGCCGGCACCGATGCTGCTCTGCCCTCTCGCTCTTCCAGCAGCGCCTGCAGCCGTTCATCTGCCGCGCCCACTCGAAGTCGCCCTTCTCGATCTTCAGGATCCTGCAGGCGCTCTCCTTCGCGGGAGGAGCGCCGCCGCCGCCCAGCGAAGCCACTCATGGCGGCCAACAACCCTGGACTACAGGGGTGGACTTCAAATGGAAAAACAGGTCGTTGGGCTCATAACCTGAGTTTCCTTCAAGGGAAAAAACGGACGATGCTTTTCTTGAGCCACGAACAGCGTTTGTTGGTGCTAAGTGGTGTATGTCACACCTATGCTCACATCATGTGAAAATGAGGGGATTCGCAGAATCAAATCAGAAAACAGTGAAGAACATAACCAAAGGCACCGTCATGCCACGGAATCACAGGATCCCAGCTGGGATAGATTCCCGATGGTAGAGGTGTTGGTGCAACTGACCACTCTCTGCAGTATTTGCATCTTTTTGGTTTGTACGACGGTGGTGGCACAAAACCATCAGCTGGTGAGGGCGCAACGGATGCATTATCCGCTGGCTGCATCATCATGCACAGGATAGTTGAAGGTCACTGCACATTCAAAAGCTTAAAGGGCAATTGAGCCTGTTGATATGCTAGAACAGCAAGTGTAGATTTAACAATTTAATAATATATACAAATCAAAGCATACACACGGCATGTGCAAACATTGACGTCCGGTAGAAAGTATAGTCAGGACAATGATGTTGTTTTTTCCCTCTTGACTG